TGTTGTAACAGGAGGAAGAAACACAAATACGAAGCACTGGTGATCAGAGAAGGGCACTTTGGGCCAGAAAGTTACAAGGATGGCGAGGGATGCCATCGAGGAGTAGATTGACACACCTCTTCCAGGAGCGATGGCATAATTCCCCCAAGGTCTCAGTGACTCGTTGGGCTGATGAATTTTGTGTGTTGAGTTAATGGGAAAGGAAAAAGGAGTGGAATCACAGAAGACAGATTTAGACATGGAGCCGGAGGATTTAGAGATCATCCAGTCCCATCAAACTCTCTCATTTTACAGCTGAGGAAACATTAGACCCAGAAAATGTAAGGGATTGCCCAGCATGTCATATAGCTAGTAAGTGTCTGATCTGAGGCAGGTCTCACCGGAGATCTTTCTGACTCCAAATTCAGAGTCCTATCTATTACACCATGCTGTCTCTCCATTACGGTTCCCCCAAGGTACTAGTGGCTTATGCTAGATAGAGGGATTTTGTATGTTGAGCTAATGGACCAGGACAAGGGAATGGGAATTGTGATGGTTGAGGCCCTAAAATGAAGAGGGACTTTCTCACCTTTGTATTTGTATTTCTGGCACCGAACAGGATACCTGGCACATAATAGGTGCATAATAAATGTGACTTGATTGATTGGTAGCTAGGTGACACAACAGATAGAGAACTATACTTGTGGTCAGGAAGACTTGAGTTCTTATCTAGCCTTAGATGCTTTACTAGCTATGTGACCCTAGGCAAGTCACATGAACTCTGTGTATCTCAATTTTCTCAATCTTTAAAATGAGAGGATTAGACTCCAACTCTAAATCTACGACCCTCCGATATAGCCCCAAGCTAAGATCTCCCTCCTCTAACCATCACTTCTTGCTTCTCCTCCTCTGTCCCTCTTGGGCCGTGGACAGTGCAGTAAGACTTGTGGTGTGGGGCTGAGGCTACGAGAGGTCAAATGTTACCAAGGAGAGGAGCTGGGCCAGGGATGTGACCCGAATTCCAAGCCAGAGGCCAAGCAGACGTGTCAGGTCCAGCTGTGTCCTACAGAGGCGCCAGGTGAGGGCGTGGGGAGACTGGTTGCTGCCTTGGGGCATGAGGCCGGTGGCAGGGATGGGGCTGGCGAGTTATGTCACGGCCTTATTTCTGTTGTCTAGGTGATGACTGTGAGGACAAAGCCACAGCCAACTGTGCCCTGGTGCTGAAGGTGAAGCTGTGCATGCACTGGTACTACCGGAAAGCCTGTTGTGGCGCCTGCCGCGGTAAAGCTCTCTGACTCGTCTGAGGGCTGGGCTGTGACCTGCTTCTCGCCAGGTGGTAGGTGTGAAGGGAAGGATTCCCCCTGTAACCTTCCACTCAGAAAAGCCACTTGTTCCTCTACGATCACAGAGCATAGGTTTAAAGCTGGAAGGGAACTTAGAGGCCAACTCCTTCATTTTACAGATGAGGAAACTGAGGCACATCTGCCCAGGGCATTTGAACCCAGCTTTCCCTGACTTTGAGTTTGGTGCCCTATCCATTACTCCGTACTTCTCCACAAACCACGCTGCCTCTCTAGTTTCTTTTTAACTAGCAAGATCTTGGAGGCATCTATCTCCTTTCTTGCAAACCTTTCCAGATAAACTACCTGTTACTGTTAACCTCTTCTTAGAGTCCTACCTGTTTGTCTCTTTCCAAGGACCTTATTCTCTTCCCTTTCCTTCAATAGCCTGGAAACAATGGAACTGGATTATTTGGTTTTACTGGGCACTAATGGGGGTGGTGGCTGTGGCCTGGAGTCACTGAGGGAGAAACACAGTAGGCTAAGTGATGAGGAAAGAAATGGAAGATCTGTCCCTTGTTGCTTCCTGTCCCTTGTCCCTTTGCCCTCATTCCACAGCTTTGGTAACCTCTGGTTGTGAGCTCAGTTACACATTTTAAAAGTCTTGTTTTGTAATTAAATAATGGATCTCATTTGGGTATGAGTTTGTGGGTGTGTTTACGGGGAGGTGGAAGCGGGTGAGAATAGATTGTTGTGTTGACGTGTTAGAGTGGAAGATTTTGTGGTGGTGAAAATGTTCCAAGTGTGAGGGCAGGGGAGGAGCAAGGGGAGAAGGGGGATCTCAGTTCAATTCAACCCAAGCCAAAGCACGCCCTCCCCCTTCAGCGAACCCTGAAGGACACAGACCAGTGCTCATCTTGTATTTCAAATTCTTAATTTATTTCTGATGTCCAACTTGGATTCACAGCCAAGTCACCGAAGATGCAGAACAAGATGAGACATCTGGAGCAGGGGTAGTGATTGGGACAGGACTAAAGCCCTGCAGTGGTCCCCTGGTGTCTTCTACTCATTTAGGATGTGACTTGAAAAGTGTAAAAAACCCCACAAAAACCAAATCTGCAGAGGGATTGAGTGGAATTCCTATCCATTGCTGCAGCTCATCCCCACCTAGCCACGATGGTCCCAGCCTTTTAGCAAGCTGAGTGGAGGCAAAGGAGATATGCTCTAGGACAGTGGTGGGGAACCCGGGAAGCTTGGATTCAGTCAAAGGGCCACACTCAAGGACCTAGATGGCCACATGTGGCCTCGAGGCCACAGGTTCTCCACCCCTGCTCTAGGAGATGTGGTCAGGGCAGGAATCCCCAGAGGTGAGGGTGGGCCTGGGCATATATGTGAGATACCTAAGAACCTTCTCCATTCCTGAAACTTAGATTATGGACACCTGGGTTAAGCTGGTCAGTTAAAAGGAGGAACAAATTAGAGCTTAATGACTTATGACCAAGAGAGGATCCCAGATCCTCTCTTTTTTATTAACAAGTTTTGGAGGTGGGAAGGTGCAAGGGACAGTCCCATTGGTTTATATAGAGTCATGTTATAGGTGCATCATCTGGGAGTTTTTTCTCCCAAAGGCAAGAAGGAAATAAAGAGGAGCTCCTTGACTGGGGGTAGGAGGGCAGAACTACAGAATAAGCCAGGCCCTGGTACCAGTTGGTCAGAGGCTGTTGCCCAGTGGCTGGTGTCAAGGAGCCCTGAAGGGCAGTGCTGGGCTTCACCCTAAAGCCATCTACCTTGACTGGTTCATACCAGGGACACACTAAAAGTGGAGACATCCCGAGGCGGATGTTTCAGAGTTAAGGGGAAGAACACTATTCTCCATAATTAGCAGGAAAGTCAGGCCATTTCTGTTGCACTTAGGAATTAAAGGTCTTGTTGGATTTATCTTCTTGTCCTCTGCCCTCGAGGAACACAGGGGTCAGTTGATTGTGTCAATCAATGCAATTAACAAGAAATGTCAGTTAATCTGAAAATATCTATCAGGTGCCAAAGAAGAATTTCAGAGGTGAAAACCTTGTCCTTTTAAAATGACAAAATAAATATGCCTCCCACAGAAAGGGGATGCCCTCCTTCTGAGGCCCTCCTTTTCACTCTTTGTGTACCATGGCAGAAGGATTTCAGGTATTCTCTGCCATGTTTCTTATTACTCAATTGACAACACCCCTGGGCGCTGCCCTCCACTTCTGATAATACGTGGACTGAGTGAGGTGGGACCTACTGAATCCCACAGATATGGGGCTGGTGGCATAAAAAGTGAGCGTTCAATAAAAATGTGAAGTGAACTGAACTGAATTAAATACACAGTAGGGGCCTCAGTCATTCCTTAGTCCCCAGGCATTTACATAATTTCTCAGGGACATCTGATCCAAAAACGAGCCCAGTGACAAGCCACGAGTCAGTCGGGAGACTCAGCCTTGGGGACTCCTCAAGAGACAGCCACAAATTTTGACGTGGCAAAGAGAGGAGGATTATGACCTTTGTGTCAGGCAGGGAAATCTAATTGCTCAATGAAGCAATGTCCTTAGAGTGTTTCACAACGGGTGGTGCTGGTCTCGGGTGCCTGTCACTAGTGCCTTCTTTGGGGAAGAGCTCCATGAGTAGTGACAGCTGGTAGTATTGCAGGGCTGATGGCTTATTCCTCTGCTTGTGCTATCACAGTGGGTTGCTATGGGGATTGATCTGCCTTAATCACTCAACTCAAATGCTAACTGGAGGTTGCATGTTTAAGACTGTGAGATTATCTCTGTGCACATCATGATATCTTGAAGGAGATGTGGTAGACACCGTCTGACCTTTTGGTGACTGGTGTGCATACATGGGTCCACAGGTCTTCATCCGTTTGTGTTTATGGACAATTGAAGGAAAAGTCAGCCAAAGTTCCATTTTTTTAAACCAATTACATTCTGAACAGAACTGAATGGAAGAAAGGGAAAGAGAGATGGAGAGAGATGGAGGGGGGGGTGGTGGCTAGACACACACACACACACACACACACACACACACACATACAGAGGCAATCATACACAAAGACAGGCAGAGACCTAGACAGAGGCAGAGATAATTGAAAGAGGGAGACAGATATAGAGACATACAACAAAAAAGGCAGACAGACACACATCCTGACAGGCAGACACAGACCCAGGCTGTTGGCAGATAGGGAAACTGAGGCACAGAGATAGAAAAAGAGACACAGATAAAAACAAGGTAGGAAGGTATGTTGATTCACCAGTAAGGGTAGCAAGTCTGTAAGGCTTCTGTGTGCAGCGACCAAAAAGAAAAAAAAAATCCTGCATGTTCTAGGACATGTTTCAGCCTTTTAATAAAACCCCGCTATGCCTAAGTCTCCAAATCAAGGCAAGATTTTTTTTTTATTTTAAAAAGTGGTTTGGCATGATCCAATCCCCTCTGCAAGTCTCTCCCCCACAATGAGGTCAATGCCACCTGTTGCCCATGGAGAGGTGTAGGGGTAGTTTGTGTGTGACATCTATGTGTCTGATACAAAGGAGCTAGTCACAGGACTTCCTATTCAACTCTAAGTGCTAGAAGTACTCAGTCATTGCAACTGTTACAATACCAGGATTACAAAATGATCAAACTAGAAATGACCTTTACCTCCATTTTCCCCAGAAAGTACGCCTCCCCCTCCCCCATCCCCCTGCCAGATCCAAGGCCCCAGAATTCCTGGGCTCGCATCTTCAGAGTTTGCTCAGCACTTCTAACAAGGACTTGGTCGAGGGCTCCAGGGTTCAGCACAGCTTCCCTGGGTATGCCCTGACTCTGGATTCTGCAAAGTCTTAGTGAGACATGGGTGGAGCCATGGGTGTATTTGTTCTGCACATAGCCCTGGTGAAGAAGCCCCACTGGTTGATGCAAGTGGCATTGTAGGTAAAGTTGTAGTGAGCTGCAAACTTTTCCCATTGGGTGAAGGGGTCTCCCTTCCCCCCTCTCCCCTTCCTGCTGCAATGTACTTTCAGTAGTCAGGTGCCTGAGTGTCAATGTCACATTTGTTCTCAGCTTACCCATGAACATATCCCAGAGAACCCTATATTCTGTAGCAAGAAAACCTATGAAAACAGATCATCCATGGGGCAGGGGCTTCTCACTGCCCTGCTTTGCTCCAAAGGGGGCAGCAGGGGGTGGTGGGTAGGTAAGGTTATACTTCTGTACTAATAGCCCTTGGATTGGTAAAGGCCTCACGTCCAAGGCCTGGTCGGGTCACCGGGAAACTCTGGAGCGATGACATTTTGAGGGGTGGAGGACCCAACTCCTTGTAGCAAGTGGGAGCGTAGGTGAGCCCCTCCCCACCATTGGGGACCATGTCGGCTGTCCGTATGTAAAAGGGGGAGCTGTAAGGGGCACAACTGGGGCAGTGGCTCTGAGCACCTCGATGCTGGTCAGAGGGCTCACTGGGGAGTGGTGCCAGGTCACCTTGTCCATCCCGGACTTGGGAGTTGCAAGAATTGCAGGTGGAAAATCTTGATGGAGCCGAGAGATCGTGTCCTTCTTCCTCTTCTTCATCATCAGAGTCATCTTTCTTACAGCAGTAGTACTAACCAGGAGGGAGAAAGGAAGGTTCAGATTAGTGAGCATGAAGCAGTGCTTGCACACTCAATTCTAAGCATGCTTCCACGTGTGCGTGAGACTCACCCCAGCATATGTACATGAGCCACGTAGCCACACCCAAGCACAACATCAACTCCATATATAGGTGGAATATATATCTATATATATATGTCTATATATATCTATATCTATATCTACTTATGGAAAATAACTTGAGAGGCTCAGAAGATTGCCTAAATTCCAAAATCTCTCTCTCACTGTTATGTAAGCATAAATTCTACCACTGGTCACTCTTTTGGCTTAAAACAATAAGACTTCCACTGAAAATACAAAAATATCGTTTGGGAAAGACACCATTTCAAGCTATTATCATCATCAAAGCTTTAGCAGGCACTAGTTTTTCAGATCTAGCTAGCTAGCTGGCTTCTACCTAGTTCAGAGAAGGGTCCTGAAGAAGTAAGGGATATAGATCAGGTTAGTTTTGATTGGGAGTGGAGGCAAAAGAGGAAATCAGAAAAAATCTGGAGCCTTGGACATTGTTTGAGGAAGGTAGCCAAGGGCAGCTTGATGTCTCTGGATATTTGGTGGGGAGAGGGAAGAGGGAAAAGACACAGAGGGAGAAGGCAGACTGGAAAAGATGATTGGAAGTACCCGGACAACAAATTGTCTTTTTTGTAGTTTGGTGTTGGCCTAGCGCTGACACTCGTGCACACCCGTGGTCATTATGGTATGTGAATGCCATTATTCGAAGTGCTCAGTTGTATTCAGAAGCTCACATTCCAGAAAGACAGAGGCAACCAGTGCTGGTGTGGTTTTCAGCAAAGAAGACATCATAGAGTTGTCAGGAAGTGATAAGTGAGAAAGGATTGTCTTGGAGAATTCTTAACCACACAAAGGAAAGGATCCCTTTTTCAAGGTCATGCTTTCATCCTGGTCCCATCATGTTGTCCTTAGCCTTTCCCTGAACAGCTGCCTTTGTTCACTGATTTGGAAGACAATCCAATTGAACAAACATATTTGAGCACCTATATCACTGGAGATACTCAAATACTCAAATGGAGTAGTGAACTCATCTATTTCAATATTCCTTATGATGCCAATATTGCTTACAATGATGCCATTTGCAATCCACCCATGCCTTCCCCTTTTGTACATCTTGTCCATATGCTTCCATAAATTCAAGGGGGATCCCACCAAAGTGCTAGACGTTTTCTTCTGTTTCTCCTGATGTCATGAGGATACTGATGGAGCACATGAGCTATCCACTTGAGGAATATGGGGCATGAAAGGGACACTCAGTGTCCTCACTAGTCTCTGGCCACCTTCCTCAAGTGGACAGCTCATGTGTTCCTCTTATATCCTCACTCTCACCTTCACTATATGACTATCCCATGTTTTCTTCCTATAGTACATGTCCCTAATTCTAACTACTCTTATTCTTTGAAGTTTCTCATTGGTTATATGTTGCAGTTTGCTCACTAGCATTAGGGTATCTAAGACTTATAAAGTATACCTTGTCCTCAGAAAGCTTATGTTCTCTGAGAAAGAGAGAGAGAGAGCATATATGTGTGCCTATGTGTCATGTGTGTGAGTACATGTATGCACATGTGAATTCAATCAATTCCATCATTTGAATTCATACAGTGCCAATTGGTTGTCCAGTCCCCAAAGCAGCTGTTTGAAAATGAGAGAGAGGCAAAATGGCAGAGTAAAGACTATGATCCAGCTGAATTCTCCCATTATTCCCCTCCAAACAACTTTAAAATAATGCCTCAAATAAAATATTGGAGTGGGCAGAGCCAACAAAATGTCAGAGGGAGACATTTTTCTAGCCTCAGACAACTTAGGAGGTCTGCAGGAGAAGTCTGTAAGAGTGGAGTGGGTAAAGGCCCAAGCCTGGCAGAAGCACCAGAACTGGACCTTAGAAGCCACCAGGACAGTAGTGGCAGCAGCAGTACTAGCATCTTCAGGAGCTCTCAGCCTAGAGATGCTAAGTGAGTTGGACAGCTGGTCTGAAAGAGATTACAGGGGACCCTTTGCTGGCACTAGGTGCAGCTGGTGCTGATTGGCAATTCTCTTGTCTATAAATAGTTTTGGGTTGCAGTCCCTGGAAGGAGAGAAATGCTTGTGATTGGTCACAAGAGAGCAGGGCTCCTGGTCATAGTTCCAGAGCCAAGAAAACACTATTATTTGTGGCTGCAGGGGAGCAGAGGACCTTCCTGGGTAAAGACTAGAGTGCAGACCAGGAGAGCAGTGACTGCACCTTTCCCAGGATAACACCACCTTGAAAGAACTGAAAACTTGCAGAACTAGCTCTGAAAACAGCAGCATGAAAAAGCTTGAAGCTTGGCACAATGCCTCCCTGCCCCCTGGTGAGCAGAGCTCAACTTTAACATAAAGTTTAAGGTGAAGAAATAGTCTGGGAAAATGAGCAAACAACAACAACAAAAAAGAACTTGACCATCAAAGGTAGTATAGTGGCAGGGAAAACCAAGAAATAAACTTAGTAGAACACAATAATGTGAAAACAATTACAAGCAAAGCCTCAAAGAAAAATGTTAATTGAACTCAAGGCCAGCAAGAATTCCTGGAAGAGTTAAAGAGATAAGAATGGCAGGAGAAAAATTGGGAAAATAAAATGACAGTGATGCAAGAAATTATGAAAAGAGAATTAACAACTTGGTAAAAGAGGCACAAAAAATACTGAAAAGAATATATCACCTTAAAAAAACAGGATTAGCCTAATGGTTAAAAAAAGGCACAAAAATTTACTGAAGAAAAGAACTCCTTTAAAAGCAGAATAGATCAATTGGAAAAAGAGGGACATAAGCTCACTGAAGAAAATAATTCCTTAAAAATTAGAACTGGGCAAATGGAAGCTAATGACTCTATAAGACATCAAGAAACAATAAAACAAAGTTAAAATAATGAAAAATAGAAGAAAATGTGAAATACCTCACTGGGGAAATAACTTACCTGGAAAATAAATCAAGGAGATAAAATTTAAGAATTATTAGACTACCTAAAAGCCATGATTAAAAAAAGAGCCTAGACATCATATCTCAAGTAATTATAAAGGAAAACTGCCTTGATATCATAGATGCAGAGGGTAAAATAGAAATTGAAAGAATCCACTGATCACCTCCTAAAAGAGATCCCAAAATGAAAAGTCCCAGGAATACTGTAATCAAATTCTAGAGCTCCCAGGTCAAGGAGAAAATATTGCAAGCAGCCAGAAAGGAACAATTAAAATATTGTGGAGCCACAGTTAGGATCTCACAAAATTTAGCAGTTTCCATGTTAAATGGAGTGGAGGGCTTGGCATTTGATATTCCAGAGAGCAAAGGAGCTAGGATTATAATCAGGAATCACATCTACAGCAAAACTGAGTACAATCCTTGAGGGGGAAAATGTATATTTAATGAAATAGAGGACTTCCAAGCATTCCTGATGAAAAGACCTGCGCTGAATAGAAAATTTGACATCCAAACAGAAAACTCAAGAGAAGCATAAAATATATAAATATTATATAATGAAAGAGTAATTATAAGGGACTTAATGGAATTTAAACTGTTTACATTCCTATATGGGAAGATGATACATGTAACTCCACTTTATCACTATTAGGGGGGTTAGAAGAAGCCTTCATAGACAGAGGGCATGAGCATGAATTGAACATGTTGGCATGATCTCCCAAAAAATATAGGATTGAGAAAGAGGAATGTACTGGGAGAAGGTGGAAGGGAGAGGTAGAATAAGGCAAATTTTCTGATAGCATGTGAGGAAGAGCTTTTATCATGGAGGGGAAAATGGGGAGTGGGTGGGCAATGCTCAAACCTCACTCTCATCAGAATTAGTTCAAAGAGGGAGACTACATATATATATATATTATATATATATATATATACATACAAACACACACTCAGCTGAGTATAGAAATCTGTCTTAGTCAAGCTAGGAGGGGAAAGGGAATAAGAGATATGGGTGGGGCAATAATAAGGGGAAGGGTAGATTGGGGGAGGCAATGGTCAGAAGCAAGATAGACTTTTGAGAAGGGACAGGATAAAAGAGAAAGAGAAGGCTAAACAGAGGAAAATGGGATGGAGGGAAATGCAGTTAGTGATCATAATGTGAATGGGAATGAGATGAGCTAACCCATAGAATGGAAGCAGATAGCAGAATGGATCAGAAACCAGAATCCAACACTGCGTTGTATAGAAGAGAAAAATTTGAGACAGATAGATACATAGAGAGTTGAAATGAAGAGCTGGAGCAGAGTCTATTATGCATCAGCTGAAGTGAGGAGGGCAAGAATGGCAATCATGACCTCAGACAAAGCAAAAGCAAAAATAAACTCAATTGAAAGACATAATCAGAGAAACTGCATTTTGCTGGAAGGTACCATAGACAATGAAGTAATATAAAAAATTTTATAGCAAGTTTCTCTAATAAAGGCCTCATTTCTCAAATATATAAGGTACTAAGTCAAATTTGTAAACATAAGGAGACATTTCTCAATTGCCAAATGGTCAAAGGACATGAACAGGCAGTTTTCAGAAGAAATCAAAGCTATCTATAGTCATATGAAAAAATGCCCTAAATCACTATTGATTAGAGAAAAGTAAATTTAAACAACTCTGAAATTCCACCTCACACCTATCAGAAATGACAAATGCTGGGTGGGGGGGGGATGGTGGGAAAATAGGTACATTAATGAACTGTTGGTAGAGTATCGAACTGTTCCAACTCTTCTGGAGATCAAGCTGAAACTATGTCCAAAGGGCTATACAACTGTACTGGTATCTCTACTAGGTCTATACCCCAAAGAGATAAAGGAAAAAGGAAAAAGATCTATACGTACAAAAATGTTCATAGCATTTATATTTATGTATATATATATAACATATAGCATTTATACATGTATGTATATCTCAATTATATATCTTTTTGTGGGGGCAAAAATTGAAACTGAGGGGATGCTCATCAACTGGGGAATCGGCTAAAGAAGTTGTGGTACATGATTATGAAGGAATGCTATTGTGCTATAAGAAATGATGAGGGAAGTAGTTTCCAAAAAAAACATGGCAAGATCTTCATGATGAAAAATGAAATGAGAAGAAACGGAAGATCATTGTGCACAGTAACCGCAATGCTGTGATGACGATCAACTGTGAAAGACTTGGCTACTCTGATCAATCCAGTGACCCAAGGCAATTCCAAAGGATGAAAAAATGCTATCTACCTCCGGGGGGAGAACTGATGAACTCTGACTGCCAACCGAGGTATAATTTTTTTTTTGCTTTCTTTTATTTTTTTTTTTAGATATGGCTAAGATGGAAATTTGTTTTGCATGATTTCACACGTATAATTGATATATTGTTTGCCTTCCCTCAGTGGGTAGGGCAGGAGTAGGAAACAGGGAGAATATGGAACTCAAAACTTAAAAAGAAAAGAATGCTTTAAATAAATAAATAATACTAAAAAATAAAGTTGGAAGGGAAAAAAAAAGAAAATGAAAGGGAGTCCTGAGATCATCTCTTTAAACAGTAAAGGGGCTAAGTAATTCTTTCAAGGAACCAAATCAGAATTTAGCCAGAGACGCTGGCCTAGAGAATTCCTGGTTTCACCCTCACTGCATCTCCCTTGTTGCTTTTTCATTCTAATGACCTTACAATGAAAAACCAAATTCATAGGATCATTAGAAGCCATTAAGTTCAACTACCTCATTTTACTATAACAAGAAGAGCTGCTATAAATATTTGTGCATACAAAGGTCCTTTCCCTCTGCCTTTGGTCTCTTCCAGATATATGCTTACTAACATTGCTGACACGAAGGTTCATAGAGTATAGGGGCTTTGGGAGGTATAGTTCAATATTGCCTTCCAGAATGGCTGGACCAATTCATATTGGTGCAATAATGTGCTTATTTTCTTGTGTTTTTTAAATTAAATTTTATTTTCCAAAGATCTATATGCCACCTCCTCTTCCCCCCTCACTACATTGAGAAAGCATGAAAAACAAAACCCTTGTTACAAATGTGACTAATCAAGCAAAATCCCTTGCTGTTTTCTTTGGCTGTGTCCAAAACAAATATGTCTCAATCTTCACTCTGAGTGCATCACCTCTGTCTGGAAGTGGGTAGCATATTTCATCATGAGCCCTCTGGAATTATATTTGGTCATTGTATTGATCAGGGTTCCTAAGTCTTTCAAAGTTGTTCCTTTGTGCAATGTTGCAATTATTGCATAAACTGTTCTCCTGGCTCTGCTCACTTCACTCTGTATCAGTTTATGCAAGTCTTCTTCAGGTTTTTCTGAATCCATCCCCTTTGTCCTTTCTTACAGCACAATAGTATCTCATCACTTTCATATACCATAACTTGTTCAGCCTAGCCACTCTCTAACTGATGGTCATCCCCTTGGTTTCCAAGTCTTTGCCACCACAGAAGAGCTTCCATAAATAGTTTTATATATATGGGTCTTTTTTCTCTTTCTTTGAATTTATTTGAGGGCACAGACCTAGTAGCAGTATTACTGTGTCAGAGTATGTCCCGTTTTGGGCATAGCCCCAAACTGCTGTTCACAGTAATGAAGGTGAGTGGTGTTCACAGCTCCAGTACTTATTTTCCCATAGCCCCTCCAGGATCTTCTCTTTTCCATTTTTGTCAACTTTGCTAATCTGCTGCAAACCCCTCTCATTTTGAAGATTTTAAAGCTTAAGGTGCAGAGAATTTAAGTGACTTGTTTAAGGTCTTACAGTTATCTGGGCTGCAATTTGAACCCTTGTCTTCCTAATTTCATATCCAGTGCCTGATCTACTGTACCGCACTGCCTCTCATTCTCCATTGTGACTCCTATTCCCCGGTGCAGAAAGGTCAGTATGTTAGCTTTCCAGCTCCATTCCTTCCATTTACAAGAGTTTGATAGTTCATATTTTTGTGCTGCTGCTTTTCAGCTTACAAAGTACTTTCCTCCATGAAGGAGATAAAGTATTATTATTCCTATGTTACAGAGGAGGAGGAGGAGTCTTCAGCTCAGTTGTAAATCAGTTGCTCACATTCACATAGCCATCAGTACATCAGGGCTAGGATTGGAACCCATGTTTTCTGATCATAAGTTCAGCCTCTTCCCCCATGAAGATGGAAGGGAATGGCCTATTACTCATATTGGTAGAGAAAGACAGTGCTGTGAGTCTCCGGATACAGCTTTCAAACAGTATCTAAAGGTCATGGAAATAGAATGATGCCTTCCTCATCATTCCCAAAATGCAAAGACCATCTAATCTCATACTCTTCATTGAGCACCCAAGGTACCCCAGGCCCTTGGAGAAGACCATTCCTCCCCAACTAGCTAAGTGGTTCAATGGATAAAATACCAGACCTACAGTCAGGAAGACATTAAGTGCCTTAGGCACTTAATAGCTATGTGACCTTGGGTAAGTCATTTAGCCTCAGTTTCCTCAACTGTAAAATGGGGATAATAATAACACTGACCTCCCAGGGTGGTTGTAAGGATCAAATGATATAATATTTGTAAAGTGCTTAGCCCAGTGCCTGATATATAGTAAGTACTATATAAATGCTAGCTGCAATTATTATTATTAATGTCTCTATGTTGGTGGTTGGAAGGCAGTGTGGTGTAGTGGATAATCTGGGCTTGGATTTATGAAGACCTGAGTTCAAATCCCATCTTGGTCACTTATTGCTACATGACCTTGGGCAAGTCACTTAATTTCTCTGGACCCCAGTTGCCTCATCTATCAAACAAAGGAATTGGACTTGAAAGCTTCTAAGGCCCCTTCCGCCTCAAAATCTATGACCTTATGTTTCACAAAAAGGTGTTTGGGTGTAGTGTGCCAAACTCAGTGTACTATAATTCCTTATTGCAAAAAAAAAAATATTACAATGCTGTGAGCAACAAAAAGTTTGAGAACTATAACCTTCTGCCTCCTAAAATATCTCGGTCGTGTCTCAGAGCACCTGAGCTGACTGTACCCAGTAGAAGATTTTTAGCTTAACTCCCAAGGTCCTGGGATTTGCTGGAATGAGGCCAGTCTGGGGACCCAGGGAGTTACTGACCTGGAGCCGACAGTAGCACAGGACAGCAATGATGCAGAGTAAGATCACAGTCGCTAGTATTCCGCCGGTGATTACAACTGTTCCCGCTGTCATCCGAACGATTCTCCATCAAACTCTGCAAAATACAAGCACAAAAGCCAAGGAAAGGTTGAGTCACTTGGAAATAAGAGGTAGTCAGGACTCTGAAAGCCATTGGGATGGATGTTTAGAGCCCACGCTCTACTGGACATACGAAGGTAAGCCGGAAAAACTCAAGGTAGCGAGGGCAGAGATAGGAAGGAAAAAAAACCATTTATTAAGAACCTTTTGTATGCTAGATGCTTTGAAAATATCTCATTTTATCCTCATAGCAACCCTGTGAAGTAGGTACTATTATTATCCCCACTTTACAGTTGAGGAAACTGAGGCAAACAAATGTTAAGTGACTTGCCCAGGGTTACACAGCTAGTAAAGGAAGAGAATAAGCATTTAAAAGTGCCTACTATGTGCATCAATCTCAAACATTTATTAGGTGCCTACTATGTGCCAGGCACTTAGCACAGTGGACACAAAAGGAGGATACAAAAGGAGGCAAAAGACTGTCCTTACCCTCAAGGAGCTTATAATCTAATGGGGGAGACAACTTACAAACAACATACATATACATACACACAAAGTGAGTAATTAATATTGTGTATTGGATTCTAGGGATGAAAATACAAAGTATGAAATCAGTCAATAAACATTTAAGTGCCTACTAAGTGTCAGGCACTGTGCTAAGTGCTGGCAATACAAAAGGAGGCAAAAAACAGTCCCGATTCTCAAGGAGCTTATAATTTAATAGGGGAAACAATGTGCAAACAAGTGTATACAAAGTAAGCAATTACTTAATATTATGTTTCTGGAGCTAGGGATGCAAAGCAAGAAACAATCTCTGCTCTCAAAGGAGCAGGGGTTCTAACAAGGGAGACAAGTAGTATGTATATGAGAATATGCAGAATAATTAAAAAAGAGAATGCAAATAAATACAAAGTAGTTAAGTACAGGGTGTCCCAAAAGTCTTAGTGCACTTTAAAGTTAGTTTTAAAGTGCACTAAGACTTTTGGGACACCCTATACAAGGTAATTTGGAGTAGGCACCCTTTTTATTAGCCCCATTTTCCACTTAACTTCTTTTAAGTGATATGATCAGGGTCACACAGTCAATTTCATTGAAGTAGGATGTGAATTCAAGTCTTTGGGATGCCAAGACCAGTACTCTAACCACTGAGCAACCTGGGTGTGTTCAACTTGTGTACCACCCTTTTCTTTTCTTTTCTTTTCTTTCCTTTTTCTCTCTTTCTTCTGGAGGCAATCGGAATTAAGTGACTTGCTCAGGGTCACACAGCTAGTAAGTGTCAAGTGTCTGAGGCCAGATTTGAACTCAGGTCCTCCTGACTCCAGAGCCAGTGCTCTATCCACTGTGCCACCTAGCCGCCCCCATGCCACAACTTTCAAAGGGCCTTCAATGGACATGCCATTGTCATGGCAGTAAGACTTTGGGGATTAGTGACTCTAGCACCCACACAGGCAAGCAATATGTCTCTACCTTTTGCTCTTTTGGCCATCATCTTTTCCTGGGTTTTTGTCTTGGCTACCTCCCATTGTACTAACTGGTTTTTGTTTGGCTGTGAGCTCAGAAGCTTCCTAGGTCTTTTGACTCCAGACTGGTACCAACAACTCCTCTCCCAACTCATCATCCTGCTTCCATACTCTGCCTAGACTTCCCAGGTAAAAAATGGGCTTGTGATGACTGGTTGTGATCAGCACTCCTCACATCCCACATCTGGGAGGTGTTTGAACTCCCTGGCCACTTGGTTCAGTCGTTGCTGCTCTCTGCAGGATCCTGTGGCCTCTGTAGATTTGTAGAAATCAGTTAATCCTAAAAGGTCCAGGTCCCCAAACTCATATGCCAACTTCTTTCCCTATCAAACGGTAGAGAGGCACACATAGGGAGGCAACATTTGCTAAGGTTAATGCTTCCTATGCCTTAAAAAAAAGTGACTAAGGTATCTATAACTGTTAACCTAGATGTCCCAGTGCTAGACACAGATACTATGGAGGTTCAAGTTAGAAACATGGGTCCCATGTACAACAAAATATACATAGCAGTACTCTCTGCGTAGCAAAGAACTGGAAACAATGCAGATGCCCATCGATTGGGGAATGGTTGAACAAATTTCGGTACACAAATAATGGAATATCATTGCTTTGTAAAAACAAACAAATGAACAATGAATATGAAGAATTCAGAAAAGCATGCCTTAAGGAGAGAGCTCTCTGCCTTGGGGGGTGGGGGGTGGGAATCTCAGCTTCAGGCCCATTCCAGTCCATGCAGCAGTTTCTGGGGGCCAAGAGTGGGTTAGCTCAGAGGAGGTTGAGAGTCCTGTGAAGTTATAGCCTATTCGTTACTGGTTTGAATCCAGGCCAGACAAGTTGAGGGAGAGAGAGAGAGAACTATAAATGCTAGAGGTTGCTTAGAAGGCAGTTTTAGGTCATAACTCAAGATCAACATTCTCAGGCTTGCCAACTAAGCACATTCCAAATAGGATATACTTTCCTAAGGAGTTGAGGCTGAGGGCAGGAAGGATGAGGCAGCACGCCTTTGATCCTCAGCATTCCAATTCTCCTTACCCTTTCCTCTTTCACTGCCTGCTCTATATCCTAGTATTCCCAGGCTCTGGGGAAGTTAATCCATCTTTGGAGCTCTTACCCTTATGGCCAGTTATTTTGTAACTGGGTGTGTACAAATTAGCGCACTGTGTCTGCTGGCTGGCCCTAGACACTGGACCATGTCTCACCTCGTATCCAGCCATTCACTATGTCTTTTGTCTCTTAGCACAGTGACCAGAATATTAAGTCTAGGCATTTAATAAATGTTTATTGATTGATCTTTCCATTTCCATTGTCGTTGTCACCAAACCAGTTGAAGTTTCTGTCATTTCATAGCTGGATAGCTGTAATAGCGTCCTAAATGGTCTCTCTACGTTGTCCTCTTCCTCCATCTGATCCATCCTGCACCCTATTGTCAGTCCCAAGTCAATCTTCCTAGAATACTGCTTTTGTCATGCTACTTCCGACCGCCTGTGAGATAACTTCCAAACTTCTTGGCTTGACCCTCAAAGCCCTCCACAATTTGGCCCAATTCACCTTCGAACCATTAATGCCTTCTACAGGACCCTTGGTGCAAATACCATCTATGCAATTAAATAGATGCATCTACTTACTGTCACTCACCCATGCCTTTGTGGGCCTTTTCAGGATAAGAAATGTACCTATATTACTTTACAGATCTCACAGGACCTAGCACAGTGCCTTGTACATAGTGTGTGCTCAATAAACATTTGCATATTGCTGGGTGCCTTGCTCATTCCCACCTTTGTGTTTTTGCTTATGCTTTTCCTGGGATGCCTTCATTCATTCGAAACACACTTATTAGTACCTACAGAGTGTGCAGCACTGTGTTAGATGCTAGAGGAGATACAAAGCTCAGATAAGACACTATCCCTGCCCTCCTAGACCTTACAGTCTAATAGAGGAATAAAACACAAAGAGAGGTTCCTATAATATGTATTATTACATGATAAACTATGTATAGGTACAAAGTGCTCTGTGAAATCTGGGATGGGGACAGGGGAAGTCATTACTTCCTTCTTTCTCTCAAGTTCCAGCTCAAGTCCTCTGTGAAAATTTTTTGACTGTCTCAGTTCCCAAATAGTCTCTCCCTCTTATGGCCTCCTGCAGCATTTCCATGTTCCACTCATTTGTACCACAGAATATTGAGAAGGAAGAGATTTCAGGGATGACCTGGTAACAGTGCCCTCATTTTATAGATAAGGTAACTGAGGCTCAGAGATAAGGAGCAACTTTGTTGAAGTGATGCAGACAGAAAATATCAGAGATGGGATTTGAACTCAGGTCTTTTGATTCTAAATTCAATGGTTTTTCTCAGCCACGTTGATAGCCTTAGTGCTATATTGTTATAATGCCTGGCACACATATACGTCTCCCAACTAGAGTGTAAGTTCATTTAGGGCAAGGACTATATCTTTAAGTTTTGTATGCTTCTCCCTACCTCCCCGCCAAGGATCTAGTGCAGTGCACATGGTGGTAGGGGGTTCAATTAAGAATATTTTGATTGTTCAATTGGTAGTTCAGCACTTTGACCAGTTCATTCCCTATAGCTCTTATCTACCACCAGAGGGCAGCAAACACTGTTTTGTCTGGTCAGCTCACCTCTCGGAACTGCTCAGCCCCAAATGCACATCTTCTAAAAGCAGAATGGTGGGACCATTTCTCAATAGCAGTGGACCCGGCATCATCCTGGGAACTATGGGGAGCTGGCTGATTCTCATTCTGGAAAGTAGCGCTGAGAATAACAACTGGTGCTTAGCGTAGTTCCTGGCACAAAGTAAGCTCTTCATAAATGTTTTTTGACCTAATAAACAGGGATATAATTCATGGCATGCACCAGAGTACTGGCATTAACCCTTCATAATCTGCTCCATAGACTGTGAGTGTAGATGAGGCAGGAGCAGGTGCAGTATCCAAACACGACATCAGTCCAGCCCATCCCTACAAAGTCTTTATTAGGGGTGCATCCAGAGCAGCTGAGTTCCTCCTGCCTCCCCTTCCCCACTCTACCACCTAAGCCACCCCAGAGAATTGTTTGGAATTCACCTGCCAGGAGGCAGTTTTTTCTGGTGCCCTAAGGGATGAACTGTCCCTTTTGTACTTTTCTGCATGTGTCCAGGAGCAGCAGGACCCATGACCTATGGAAAACGAGTAGCCTAGCAGAAGGGAAAAGTTCTTGTGATAGTTTGTGGATTTGGGAAGACAAGCTGAATTGAGAGGAAAAATGGGTATGTATGCCACAATAAACCCAGTGCTTAGCACATTGCCTGGCACGTAGTAGGTGCTTGATAAATGTTTATCTACTTATTGGCTGACTGATGCAGTATTTGTATGATTGAGACTTGTGGGGGGTGGCAGGGGGCAGCAAAATTTAAGCACACAGTGCCTACATGGGTGGCTGTCCAGAGATTTCTCTGTAACACTACCTTCCTGTCAGAGTTATACAAATAGCTGAAGCCAGTGT